CCTCTTCAATGAGTAACTCTTCTCAGATCTATGTAACATATTTGAGAGAGTTGTTATCGAGATAAAGACCGGTTCAACTAGTCACGCATTCATGTCAATGTGAATGATTGATTTTCATAGTCCTCTCACGATGTCGGTGCTGCTCACATGCAACCAAGCCATCAGTGTTCGACCAATTAATAAATGTCTCCTCATCGAGGCCGTACAAGTGACGATGCTCTCACAGGAAGAAGGCTCTGAAGGGTGAGTATCTTGGAGCCACTTCTAATGTGATCGGAGTGATGAGGCCACCAATCCCTAGCTCCAACGAGTCAGAGGAGGATCAATCCCATGGCTTGAAAGAGACTTTGAACGGATCTGGTGGAATTTTCCGATGTACTCGAATGCAAAAAGGAGTCATATTCCCTGTTAACTACCGAAGACTAGATAGAGGAATGAAGTCTGATGACGAACATTTAGCTATCGTAGAGTCTCAATCCTCTAGCTCCTCTGCTAAATATGAGAGCTCCGCTTATATGGTAGGAGGCCCTAAAGATCTCACAAAGAAACTTGACGAGCAGCAAGCTATGCTCAGATCACAACAAGAGACCATCAATGAATTTCAAAACATGATGGCCTAGTTAGTTGCAGACAAAACTAAATCCCAAAGGGCCAACTCCTCACCCAGGCATAAAACTTTCCAAAAGGAAAGGTCATCTTCATCAAAGGGGAAGAAAAAGGTGATTGATAATACTGCTTTCGACCAAGAAACCCACAACATAGGTTCTTCCTCTGAAGAAAAGGAGGAAACTGAAAATGAGCAAAACCCTCAATCTACAAAGATGGAGAAATTGGAAGCTTGCCTCAATGACATTACAAATAGAAGTGAACTCTAAGAGGAGGGGGTTGTTAGGCCCTATCCTGCCGAATGGGATGCTGCCACATATCCTTCAAAGTTCAAGGTTCTGACCCTACAGGCTTTTGATGGCACGGGATCCCTTAATCATCATATTTATTACTTCAAGTCACATACTTGGAATGTGATAGCAAATGATGTGATGTTGACTCATTTGTTTATTGGCACCCTCAAGGGGATTGCCTTTGAATGGTTCATAAAACTGCCTGTGGGATCTATCCAGAAGTGGGCAGACCTAGAGAGATTATTTCTGGCCAGATTCTTCAAAGACAACTTAGAAGTTTTGGTCCATTCTCTTCTTGCCACCAACCAAAGGAGAGGAGAAACCCTAAAAGTCTTTGTTGAAAGATTTTGAAGCATGACTCTTTGATGCCCAGCAGGTATGACGCAAGAAACTCTGGTGGAAACCTATCGACACAACTTACAGACCGGTCTCTTAGCTCAGATGGGGGTCACAGAATGCCATTCATGGAAGCAACTAGTCTCTCAAGGTGAACAAGCTGAGGAAATCATCGCCATGGTTAAAGCTAAAGAGGAAGGCAAGCAAAGACAACCTACGCAACGTGGCCAAAATAATACTCCCCGATCCAAGGGGAAAGATATTCTGGCCGCTGAAACTAACACTCGAGCGCCACCTACTAAGCAGGGTAAGGCATCGAGCCAGCCAAGAACATCCAAGCAGTACTCCTTCAAAGAGGATCATGTGATCACTTTTTTCAAGTTACTTCAGAAGAATAACACGTTGAAGCTTCCTGAAGTTAAGAAACCTGAAGAAGCAGGAAAGATGGAAAACCCTAACTATTGCCTATACCATAGAATGTTGGTACATCCAATGAAGAGATGTTATATCTTCAAGGATATCCTACAAGCTTTGATTGATGCCGAAGTGCTTAAATTGAGGCCAGAACAGAAAATCATACTAACATGATATCGGTCCAATTCGGAGATTTCCCACCTGTTGCAGCTCCGGATGGTGTTATTCATATCCCTAAAGGGGAGTTATACATGAGAAACATTAACCCGCATGGTCAAAAAGATAAAGGATTGGTACCCCTTACTATCCCAAAAGGAGAGATAATGTGGGTCCATCTTGATCTGCTTGATGACCGACAGTGGGCTGAAGTATCAGGGAAGAAGAAGAGAAACAAGGCTAAAGGTTCCAATATGATTAGCCCCTCCCTGAATGAGGATGATGCACATTTGGCCCCACTCACTGACTCGGAGGAAGAGAAAATTATCCTACTGGTCAAGCAAGGAGCAAACCCAGGAGCATGCACCAGATCAGGGAAGACATACTTGAAGAGGTATGATCAAGCTATCGAAGAAGCAGAAAAGCCAGGTAAGGAGGCTAGGGGTTCCATTCCTAAGAAGCCAACTGACAAAGGGAAGCTGAAAGAAGTTTGTTATAACAAGAACCTCCTCCAACCAGAGGCAGGAGGGTCAAGCGCTCCCTTTCGCTTCAATGTCATGGCACAACTGGCCAATATCTCTATCAGGATCACTCTTTATGAGCTTTTAAGGTTGTCCAAGTCCACGAGAAGGGCTCTGATTAAAGCTTTAATGGATATAGAGAGCTTTATTGCTCAAGTGCATATCATCCCAAAAGCTACTGAAGGATCTTCTTGCATACGATGCTTATAAGCTACAAGGAGTCTGCCTTGCATATCGTTCACCCAGGAAGATATGCAAATCAAACATAAGCATGACCGACCCTTATACTACACAGGGGATATCGGGTCTTCGGAGATCAACCGTGTCAAAGTCAACCCGGGATCCGCCCTCAGTATTATGCCATACAGAGTTATGTAGTTCTTGGGGATTCCTCTACACCGACTGAACTCAACACATACCACTATCTTCAGCTTCAACACTAACAACACATGACCCATGGGCAAGATCAAACTCAAATGCCAAATCGGGGATCTCAGATCAGAAGTGACCTGCTACATCATAGATGCGGACGCATCCTACAATCTATTGTTAGGATGATCTTAGATTCATGCAAATCGTATTGTCCCGTCTACCCTCCATCAAGTGATGAAGTATGTCAATGAAAAGGGAGAAGTCAGAACCCTGATAGCCTAAGAACAACCATTCAAGAGTGTGGAAAACTACCACACTGATTCAGTTTTCTACTTGGACTCCCAAGAACCGGAGTAGCCAAAAGAAGATTTTGACAGCGATAATGAAGCAGACGACGAATTTGAGCCTGAACCTGAGGAAGAATGTCTGTGGGAATTAGATTTGAATGTAATGAGCTAGAATGAGCTAAAAAACAATGATGTATCTAGTGAGGACGAGTGGTACATTAATGATAATTTCAACTTGGCTTACCTGTCTGATGATGTATCCTCTGATGCAGGCACATGAACAGATACATGGCATGTATTATATACTGAAGCATTGTTTATACTGCCGCTCAAATCATCTTTCACTATATTCGAAGAGATGGAAGATGCCCAAAGAGACTTCTTCATAGTCCCAACCAGGAAGAAAGGCCAAAGGCTAATCTATTTTGGGAAAGTCAACCCTGGGCCACCTGATCAGGGAAGTTTAGAGGAAGACCATGGAATCCCACAATTCCATCATTATGGGTCCAAGTCCCTCAGTATGATGAAGAAGATGGGTTATGAATTTAATAACCCAAAAGGTTTAAACTTCAGGAAAGGAAGACGAGCACCAATTCGGTCTTTCACTCCAGAACGAAAACCCCTGATTATTATCATAAAACTGGGCGAGGATTAGACTACATTTCTTCCAAAAATGAATGTCTATATCAAGACCACTCATTCGGAACATCATCATGAGACTCAGACGTTAGCATTGGTGCAACCTGCAAGGGCTTGTCTGTGAACATGACCTCATCTACTCATCCAGACGATGATGAAGAGGATGACGAATAGTTGATTAAATCGACTGGCGATCCATGGATCAAACGTCTTAACATTTTATGGGATATATGTTTCGAGCAACGCGAGTCACCAACGAAAGATAAGGTAATCCAGATAAACATGGGAGATGAAACTGATCCCAAGCCCATCTTCATAAGTGAAAGATTGTCACCATCTGAGAAAGAGGACCTTATATCTCTCATTCAAGAATATATAGATGTATTCGCCTGAAACTATGAATACATGCCTGGTCTTGACCCAAAAGTAGCCATACATCATCTCAACATTGATCCGGATGTGAAACCCATTAAACAACAACAACGTCAATTCCGTCCAGAGATCATGGAAGCAATTGAATCAAAAGTTAAAAGGCTTATCGATTTAGGCTTCATCAGAGAGGAACAACACCCTGACTGGGTCACTAACATTGTTCCTGTAACTAATAAAAATAGGAAAGTCAGGATTTGCATTGACTTCCGTGACTTAAATGCCGCATGTCTGAAGGATGAGTTCCCCCTTCCCATCACAGATGTCATGATTGATAATACTTATGGGTATGAGAGGATGTCTTTCATGGACGGATTCTCAGGGTATAATTAGATCAAAATGCACCCTGAAGGTGAAAAGCACACAGCTTTCAGAATACCACTGGGGGTATACTGTTATACAGTAATATCGTTTGGACTGAAGAATGCTGGTGCAACCTATCAGCGTGTCATGAGCATGATCTTCCATGAACATCTTCGCAAGAAGGTAGAGTTCTACGTAGATGACATTGCAGTGAAGAGCCAGAAGAAAGGCGACCATCTCTCAGACTTGAAGATGATGTTTGACATCATACGAGTACATCAACTGAAGATGAACCCCACCAAATCTTCCCTAGGGATATCCAATGGTAAATTCCTTGGATTTATAGTCACCTCTAAAGGTATTTCCCTTGATCCAGAAAAGGTTCGGGTTATCCAAGAAATGCAATCTCCAAAGAATATCAAGAAACTCAGAGGCTTGCAGGGCAGATTGGCTTACATCCGGAGATTCATATCAAACATCTCAGGATGCAGCCAGCCCTTCACCAAGTCAATAAAGAAAGGAGTCTCCTTTGTTTAGGATGGAGACCGCCAAAAGGTATTTGAGGAAATCAACAATATCTCACTCAACCGCCTGTTCTAGTAGCTCCGGTGATAGGAAAATCATTCCTATTATATGTGAGGGCCATGGAACATTCTCTGAGAGCTTTATTAGCTCAGAACAATGATGAGGGCCATGAGCAGGCAGTATACTACCTCAGTAGAACCATGATTGGAGCTGAACACCGATACAATCCGGTGGAAAAAGAACACATTGCCTTGATTTTCGCCATTCAGAAAATGTGGCATTACTTAGTTGGACAGGCTATTCACGTTATCCCCAAAGTGAACCCTTTGAGAGTTCTCATGACGAAACCTTCTTTGCTAAATTGTCGTCTTGCAAAATGGGTGATACTTCTGTTGCAGTATTCAATGCATTTCATGCCTCAGAAGGCTGTTAAAGGCCAAGCCCTAACAGATTTCTTAGCTGACCATCTGGTGCTTGATTCTTCCAGATTATATGAAGACTTACCAGACAAAGTTGCAGAGGCTTACGTGACTCAAGGAGTCATGCAAGTATGGAAAATGTTCTTCGACGATGCATCTAGAGTAAGTCCTGATGGAGGAATCACAAGCGGTGTGGGAGTTGTACTCGTATGCCCAACTGGTCAGGTGATCCCAAGAGGATTTTCCTTAATCGAGCCATGCACCAATAACGTAGCAAAGTACAATACTTTGCTACTAGGAATGCAGTTGGCCGAGGAACTTAACATTCAATACCTCAAAGCCTACGGTGATTCTTAACTCATCGTAAATCAAGTCCGAGGAGAATATGAAGTGTATAACGAGGATCTGGTCCCATACCACTTTGTGGCGCTAAAGTTAGCCTAAAAATTTGAGGGCTTCTTTATTAGACACATTCCATGAGCCCGTAACACCTATGCAGACGCTTTAGCTTCATTAGAAACTTCACTAGCATTGCCACCAAAGGCAGAAACAAAGATACTCATAGCAGGTCGTGATTTGTATCACCCCAAGTTCCCTCTAAGAAATTGCTTAGAAGAGGCAACAACATAGATCGTTTGCGAAGCTTCCATAGGTCTGGAATCAAGAGATTGGCGATTCCCATTCATCGACTATGTCTTGCACGACATAGTACCCGATGATTCTAAAGAAGCGGTCGCCGTCAAGCGGAAGGCCCCTCGATTCTATTATGATGCGGTATCTCAAACTTTATATCGAAAATCGCATAATGAAATTTTGCTTCGCTGCATTTCCAGGAAAGAGGCACAAGAAGCTCTCAGAGAAGCTCATGATGGAATATGTGGAGCTCATCAACCAGGAGCTAAACTAGGGAATCGACTCCGCAGGCTCGGGTATTACTGGCCGAAAATGATTGTTGACGCCATCAATTATGCTAAAAGATGTCACGTGTGCTAGGTCTACGGTGATTTTATTCATCAAGCACCAGGGAATCTGCATCTAACATCTCCGTCTTGACCATTCAAGATGTGGGGGGTGGATATTGTTGGACCTATTTTCCCTTCAACATCCAAAGGGCATCGGTTTATCTTGGTAATAATTGATTACTTCTCTAAATGGCCAGAAGAAGTTCCTTTGAAAAAAGTCAAGGCTTCGGACGTGGTTAAGTTCATCAAACACCATATCGTCTACCACTTTGGTGTACCCAGGCGAATAGTTCATGACAATGGAGCCCAATTTGTCAGTTATAATTTTTAGAGATTCTGTAATAAGCTTAGAATCTAAAGTGTTGCGTCAACAACATATTATCCGCCAGCTAATGACTTTGGGGAAGCTTTTAACAAGACAATCGTAAAGCTCCTCAAGAAGTTCGTCTCCAAAAGCCGATGCAACTGGGATGAATGACTCAGAGAATGTCTATGGGCCTACCGCATGACGGTGACGACCCCGACAAAAGCTACTCCATTCTCTTTGGTATATGGCTACAAGGCTGTACTACCATTAGAAATTTAGATCTCATCCCTGAGAGTTGCCCTTGCGACCGGGATGACAGATGAGGACCGTCATCGATTACGCCTTCAAGAACTGGAAGCGTTGGATGATAAGCGACTTCATACTTGTTTAGGTCGGAAATTATTTTCTTCATTGTGATTGAATCTATTACAACTTTAGGCGTTACAATAAACTTAACAAAAAGTTAGTCTTTTTATAAGATTTTTACACAATAAAATAACTGATTACAATCACTTTTAAACAACACACATATCATATTTATTAGTCTCTATTTGCGTGGGATGTTTGCCTATGCCGGAGTTTATCCGTGGACCGCCTCGGATCGGATCTGGTTGATAGAATGATTAATTAGAGCTCTTACTTCACAAAGGAAGTAATCGCTGAAGTGATAATCTCAATCAAGAGAGATTATGACTCTTCTCGAGATCAAGCCCAAGCCTGATCTCAAGGAATGGAGGGGGGGGGGACGGATCTCAGATCCTTCGAAACGATCCTTCTCTATGTCAGAGTTCGCCAAAATCTACTAGCCTCTCTCAAATTCGTCACAACTTCACCCTAGCTCCTCTGAAGTTCATGACTCCCTTTAGATCTACCTTTATGAGGTTGCTAGAGGTGTATTTATAAGTTTTAAATGCCGTGTTTGTGGATAGAAATATCGTGTTTGTGGATAGGGTCGAAGAACAACCGTTATTATCCGTTTAAGTGAGTTTTTGGTTGTGTAACAGCTTTCACACGTTTAAAGATAACCGCACATGTTTATGGATGACCCTAAGGAGTTCTATAATCTAATATTATCAGAAAACAAGTTGGGAGCTGACCTGGACGCGAGTCACTTCGACTGTCTCGCACATGTCCGAGACAACTTGGACTATCTCGGGTATTTTAGTCTTAACTCTTTCGTACGGCCTTAGAATGAGATGATTCAAGATGCGTTGGAAATATGACAAAGAGACCTACAACTTTTGACTTTTGAGATTCTTCATATTCGAATATTATCATGGCTAAAATGTGCGAGATATAATTAGTGTTTCGCAGGTGTGAAACAGTCTGGACTGTCTCGGGTATTTTGGCTCTAACTCCCTCGTCCGACCTCGGAATGAAGTGATCCAAGGCACGTTATAATGCTTGAAAAGATCTCTACAACCTACCATGGGTGAGACACCCATGGGATGAGCAAGTAATGAGTGGTGCTTACTCCTTTGTGGGGTCTTTTGAGATTCTTCATATTCGAATATTATCATGGCTAAAATATGTGAGACATAATTAGTGTTTCGTAGGTACAAAACAGTTTGGACTGTCTCGGGTATTTTAGCTCTAACTCCCTCGTCTGACCTCAGAATGAAGTGATCCAAGGCACGATAGAATGCTCGAAAAGATCTCTACAACCTACCATGGGTGAGACACTCATGGGATGAGCAAGACATGAGTGGTGCTTACTCCTTTGTGGGTAAAACGCAACCCCAGGTCGAGTCGCTTCTTCGTTATTGTACCATCTTGTTGATTTGTATGATTTATCAACTCGCTTTGTGTATTTGTTAGCTTCTCTATGATATCAAATAATCCTTCTTGATTCGGATAATGATGTTCATCTTATTCTTTTCATCTCGAGCTACGTGTGGGAACCCATAGGTAATTTTTGATGCCTACAGATACCCCCTCCAAAGTGTTTTAGTCCCGTTTCTTTTATAGAAGAGTCTAGAATACTTTGGATATGATACACCCAACCTTCAGTCGGTGTAAAAAAAACCTATAATTGGCTTTAGTTCTTGACTTCTTTAATTTTTAGCCTATTCAGTATTTTATCAAATAGCTAAAAAAATTTTGATGATGCATTTATCGTCTGACCGTTGTCAAAGTCTTGAGCTAAAACTAATGTATTAATTTTTGATCTTAGCTCATGTCTTTGAGTCAATGTTGAACTGATTATCTTCGTCGGGGATTCACATCTGAATCGCGATCGAACTCCTTGGGATTATCCTTTGCTTTTGGAATTGATCGAAGCCTTGTTTTGACAAAAATTGTTGACACATTGACCTTCATCGCAATATGTGGACTATCATTGACTCATGGCTATGCGGTGACCAGCGTTGACCGTTATTGCAATGCATTAACTGGCGTTGACTTTCATTGCAACGCGTGATAGTCCCAAGTGTAGAGACTGCAATGCCAACTATTGAGGATTGGTTCTTTTGCATGTATGGATTTCACCTTTACGTCCCGTTAGTTATTTACTTAACCACAGGGGAGTTTTTGGTTGTAGGATCAACTATTGGAGCTGATATGGCTATCACTACAAATGCTTTCAAAGTTCCTCATGGAGACTTCGACTGGAATTGGTATTGTCTCGGGTGCACAAGTCACGAGACTAACTGATAAAGCTGGTGCGTCAATGAATATCGGACTTATAGGATTTTTGGCAAATCCTCAGCCATCAACGGATTTGATAAACCTTTACCAACTACTGTTTGAGTCGGTCTAGTATGCGGATTATCTAAGTCCATTTCGCATGTAACATTGTGCTAAAAGAGTTAACTCTCTTAGACTTAGTGTTATGATATTGAATACATAGACTTCGCCATTGTTACGGGAATAGGCTACCCGGCAACGCGTATTGGGTGTAGACTTGAATTAACCTTGGATCTCGGATTATCCTTAAGAATATTATGTGTAATATTCTCCAGGAACTTCCCGCTAGAAATAAGTGAAGCAATTTATACTCGTGTACCCAGTGGAGTATCACAGAGAAGTAGTTTAACCTCTTATACTTATCAGAGGACGGGAGCAGTTTAACCTCATATACCCGTCGAAGGATGGGAGCAGTTTAACCTCATATATCTGTCGGAGGATGGGAGCAGTTAAACCTCATATACTGTTGGAGGATGGGAGCAGTTTAACCTTATATACCTGGGAGCAGTTTAACCTCATATACCTGTCGAAATATCTAGGAGTAGTTTAACCTCATATACCTGTCGGAGGAAGCCATTCTCATTCAGCTTCTTTCAGCGTTATGATGTCGATATCAACCAAGGCTTGAATTTTATTTTTTAACATAATACAAGTCTTGGTGGGGTGATGGACCCTCCTATGGTACGCACAATACTTAGGATCCGAAATCTTGTTTGCTTCCTCCTGATTTGTAATCGGTGGTAGCTTGATCTTATTGTTGGCGAGGAGGTATTTGAAGATGGTTGGAACTTCATCATCTTCAAAAGAATACTCCCCTTAGAACTTCGGACTAAGAGTCCCTTGTTGCCTCCAAGGTGGCTGTTGATGAATATTATCAGTAGTTGCATGTACTTTAGTTATCGGTTGACCCCTCTCTAGCTTCTTTCTTTTAAGGAAGCACTCGACCTGTTCTCCGTATAGTTTTAATTCTTTCCAGGTGGTTGAGGGGACAACCCACATGACTTCGAGGACATTGATAGAGAGATTGTTGTTACACGTCTACAAGATGAACTCCTCTATAACAGGATCCCTATAATTTATTACTTTGTTGTGGAAACGTTTGATAAAACTATCAACTGACTCATCGTCCTTTTTCTTCTCATCCAAAAGAGCTCCGATTAATACTTCAGTGCCATCATCGAACAAGTTGTTGAGGAACGAGCTTTTCATGTCGTCTCAGCAGTTGATGCTTTCAGGCTTGAGACGTCGATACCAATCAAAAGCCGCCCCACAAAGGGTGCCCACGAATGACCGAATCATCAGGGGTTCATTCCCGGAGATCACTCCCAGGTGGGACTTGAAATAAATTAGGTGTTGAGTGGGTGAACCTTTCCCGTCAAACGGTATGAAGTTAATTAGATTGA